ACAACAACAACAACAACAAATTTAAGAAGGAAGTAAAGCAAATTTAGTGAAAGAGTTCTTTTAATCTCAGTGGTAAGTACTTGGATGTAGTATTTAAGTACTTTTTATATGTTACTGATTTTTTAAAATATATATATTTTTATTGTAATTGGACATAACACCTTTATTTTATTTTATTTTTTATGTGATTCTGAGGATCGAACCCAGTGCCTCGCACGTGCTAGGCGAGTGGAGTGCTCTACCACTGAGCCACAACCCCAGCCCTTGTTACTGACTTTTTTTTAATCAAAAAGAAATTCTTATTTTGCCACCCCTTTTAATTTATCTTAAGCCTCTTAGAAACAAGCTTTTTTTTTTTCTCCTGTATTTCAGAAAATACAGAATATTGTATTTTTTTTTCTGTATTGGATCTCTGGTGTATTTTTTAATAATTTTATTGTGGTAAAAATACAACATCATCTCTGAGCAGATTTTAAGTGTGCCTTGCTGTTGATTGAAGGTGCAGTGTCATGCAACAGAACTTTCATGCTCATTCACATTATTTAATTGAAACTTCATGCTTGTTGATTAATAACTCCTATTTCCACTTTCACACAGCTTCTGCTAACTAGTCTTCCAGTCTTACATTTTATGAATTTGGTGACTATTTTAGATACCTTATATAAGTGGAATTATGCAACATTTGTCTCTGGTATCTGTTTTATTTCACTTAACATGATGTCCTCAAGGTCTAAGTGGATGTATTTCTTGTTTCTCTTCCTACTGAAATGATTCAGTGGTAAAAATTTAGTAAGTCTAGACTCTAGTTCCAGAATGTTTATTTTATTTCTCTTGAGCATTTATCATTTTCTTTATTATAGAAGTTTATCCTACTCTTTCCTGAAGAGTGAGCATCCATTACAGTAATGGTTTTACTAAAAAGTATTTAGAATTTTCCTAGGAGAGAGGAAGCAGCCCAGCGTGTTCCCCATGATGCTGGGAGAGCCCCCACGGCTGCAAGTTGTGTCTGCCAGCCTGCCCTGCCTCCCTGCCTCCGTTTTGTGCTTGTCCTTGATCATTTATTTGAGCTGTGGAGACAAGAGCAGGTTGAGTGTCATTCCTTCTCTTGAGTTTAGTGTGTTTAGTCTGACTTATTTTGTATTTGTGCTAAACAAAATCAGCCTGAGAGTCAGGTTTCAGAAACTAAGAACTAACGGGCACCCTGGAACATAATTCACCCTGGCACTTTAGGTTTGAAAGGCTCCTATGCTTCTCTCTTTTAGTCTATTTTCAGAAAAAGCACGTGACTAAATATCAAGGACTGAAACTCCTGCATCATGAGAGGGGTGATGTGATGCCAAAACCAGATTTCCACCTGTAGGAGATGCATTAATTTTATATATAGAACAAATACATGTTTCTTATTTGAACTTTGAAGAAGAATCTTTGCTGAGGATCATATTGATATAATATATAGACATTTGTCCTCTAAAAGAAGATGCCCCATTGGCCAAAACACAAGTTTACGGGTACTTTTTCCTTACTCAAAAACAAACTTTAAAATTATACTGGGATTCATAGCGAGTCACTTTCTACAGTCCTGACTCTTAGTTTTATTGAAAAGCAATGGCTTTTTTGTTTATTTGTTTTAAACTGTTGAAAGCTATAACCTAAAGTTGTTATTACCTCATTCTTTTTCTGCTGTTACTTAGTTATATTCATTATTTTTCTTTTTAAAAAAGCATACAGGAGTATGTGTTCATCTAGTAAAAGTATATAAAATGAAATTTAGGAGTTTTATTTCCTTGATTTCATTTCAAGATTGTTAAATGTTTAGTATAGCTTTTCTAGATTTCCCCTATGCATTTGCACAGATTAAAAAATGTCAATGGTGGGGGTACAGTATTTCATACTTCAATATTTTTCTGTGATTTACCTTTAATTTACTTAGCAATAAGCCTTGCCAAGTCAGAATTTTGAAATATCTGAATGTTATTTATTCCATGGTGATGATATAGATCATTAAGAATTTATTGTTGTTATTATAAACAATACTATTATAAACATTTGAACCCATATTTGAATTTTTTTTTCATTTTAAAGCTCAAATTTTGCTAGTTACTTCAAAACACGGGTTTTACTGCTTAACATAAAAGTAAGGACACATTATCTTTTCTGTGAATACTGAATTCTAATAAATAGGACAATCTTAGAATAAATTATTCTGATAATAAAATCCTTGAAATAGAATTATTAGCTTTTTAAAATAAGCATTTATAGAACACCTGGGAATATCTGAGTATTTCTGTGGAAGGATTCTTAGGAGTAGAATTACGGAGTCAAGCATCATTGGTATTTAGTATGTTGCTAGATATTACCAAAATATCTAACAAAAAGGCCTTATCAATTTATACTCCCAATTACAAAGCAGACGATTGCCCTCCTTTTAAATTAATTTTAAGGTTACATTGACTGTCTTACAATTGACAGGAAAATAAGACAAAAATATTCATAATTTAATGTGATAATTGCATTAATATGGGAATGCCTAATTCAAATTGTATTGGGAGTTTAGGAAGACTTTCTGGAGGAGTTTGCTTTAACTGGATCTTGAATAATGAGTTCTCATTAACCAGGCAAAGGAGGGGAGTATGCTGGGAGGGAAGACATTTTAGTTATGGTGAGCACATGGCGGAATCATTGAGATAATATGATGACGTACTGCAAGTGCTTCAAAATTGTGGAAGGAAAGGGTGTAATAACAGAAATACAGTGGAGGTGGTAAAAGGCAATGCTGGCTATTCCAAGGAAGTAGGATTACATCGTAGACAATGATGACCCTTTAAAGGCTTTTTTTTTTTTTTTTAAATTGAATGGAAAGGTTGATTTTTGTGTTAGAAAAGTCACTTGCATCATTGTGGGAAGTAGAATGAAGCAAGTTCAATAGCAACAGAGACTGGGCGAGGAATGGTGAAGGAATAAGCTAAGGCTGTGGTCATGGTGGCTAGAGATTGGTGGGTGGATGTGAGAGTTCATGAGGAACTAATAGCACTTCGAGAGAATTTGACTGTGGCAGGTGAGGGAGATCCAGTGGTGGAGGGTGACTTTTGCATATGTTAACTTTGGCACGCGTAGTTAGGATTGCTGTTTGCTAAGACATAGAGTATAGGAGAAAGGATGATTTAAGTAATCTGAGTTTCGAGTTGCTGCAGGTCACCTATAGAAGGTACTCATGGCAGTGGATTGAGAGCTGAGCAGGAGATTCTGCCAGGGGAGACACTGTCACATAGTTAAAACTGATCCTGTCATTGGGTGTCTTCTTCCTTGGAAACTTGTGGAAAGATAAAGTACATTTAAGGGTCAATGAAGAAAGAAGAGAAGCCTGTGAGAAGGAATGGCCAGTTAACCATGAGGAAAACCAGTAGAGGATGGCATTCTGATAAGAGATGGGAGGGGTGTGTTTCATGCCAGACTGCATGGCAGTGAAGAGGGCGTGAGGAAATGTGGAGGCTTTTGCTTTGGGGAAGCTGGGATAAGGAGATAGAAACCATGAATTTGTAGTAGATAATGCTTATATAATTTGACAGTTGAGGTGTAAGACTTTTGAGTCCAATGAATTGCATTCAGATCACTTTGTTCCATCATGTTAGTCAAACACAACAAAACTGAGCTCCCAACTCTCCCCAAGGAGAGCTGGGAGAATAAAATGAGATGAATGTTCAAATACATATTAGTTACATGTGTTATCTGCAATCTTCATTTCACCTTGGAGAGTTAAAAAATTACTGAGTAGAGAGGATTGATAAATGTTTGCATGCCACCACACCCAGCTTTGTCTTCCTGTTTCGTTATTCAGGAAAATGCTATTCTTTATTCATGGTACAGATATGCTGCATTTCTGCTATGTGCAGGCACTAAACTAATTGTCAAGGGTACAATTCATACATTGTTCCTACTTTCAGTAATCTTATGATACAGCAGGGTAAATGTAGATAATACAACAATTATTCTAAGATGTGGCAGAAATAAGAGGGAGATACACAGCAAAGGAGAGGCTGTGGGGAGTTGGGGGTGGGACTCAGTGAAGCCTTTGCCAAGTGAAACCTGAGTGGAGAAAGATTCGAAGACTTCCAGGTAAAGCAGGAGGTGGAGGAACAGAGATAAACAATAAAATAATAATGTAAAGCAGAGTGAACTTAGAACATGGGTAGGTATTGAGAGGCAATTAGCAATAATATATTGCTGGACCAATAGATGGGCAGAAAGGATGTGGTGGGATAAGAATCCAGGAGCTGGGTCACAGCATCCCCTATATGTCAATCAAGTCAGTTTAGAATTTTACCCAAATGGCTACTGGATGCTGTTAAAATTTTAACCAGGGAGTAAAAATGCATAGATTTTTGTTTTATGTAGATAATTTTGAAGCCTGAATGAGGAATCCTGAAGTAGGAAGACCTTGTAGAGTAGGGAGTTTATAGTAGTTTGGACAATGAGTAAGAGTATGGCAGTAGGAGTTAGAGAGCTTGTTCAAGGAATACGTAGGAGAGAAAATGGCAGACTTAGATGATAGGCGTGGAGGGTTGGGAGGCTTTATTGGTAGCATTGCACACTTGAGAGATTGTGGGGAAGATGATGAGTTGATTATTTTTGGATTTCCCTTAATAAAAGAAACCAATTTATCAGATATTTTAATTTTGTTTTGTATGGAATTCCATAAGAAAATTTTTCAGTTTCTACTGCTATAGCTGTTAAGAGTCTAGACCTTTCCTCTTCCCTATGAGGATTAAATCTTTGTTTTAAATTTCTATTTTTGTCTTACTTGTCTTTCTTTTTTTTTCTTCAGTATATAATTTTTAGTTGTTGATGGACCTTTGTTCTCTTTTTTTATTTATTTGTTTTGTTTGTTTATTTGCAGTACTAAGAATTGAACCTAGTGCCTCACATATGCTAGGTAAGCACTCTACCACTGAGCCACAACCCCAGCTCCTTAACTCGTCTTTCTTAATTTTTTAATTCTATAGGAAGAACCTAAGAAAGTCCGCTTTGATTATGACTTATTCCTGCATCTTGAAGGCCATCCACCAGTGAATCACCTCCGCTGTGAAAAGCTAACTTTCAACAACCCCACAGAGGATTTTAGAAGAAAGTTGCTGAAGGCAGGAGGGGTAAGTGGCACTCGTTTGTGAAAAGCCTTCCTATAAAAAAAACAACTTGCTAGTGTGTTAGGAAGTATGATAGTATTTTCAGAGAGGTAATAGAGATGAAGTACCTTAATGGTTTAGCTGTGGATTCAGTATGGGAAGAAGTAGGCAAACAATATTTTAGTAGGTGTGGGTCTGAGATTACATTGTTGGTTAGAACAGCCTTAATATCTATGCAGTTCGAATTTATTTTGATGACAGCCCAAAGCAAGAAACATTAAACTGTCTTCAATTAGGGAAAAAATACTTTCTGAAACTTTTTATGTTAGTTATAGAAACTTTTGGGGAAAAGTTGAAAGTCACATTAAAAATTATATAAAAGGTATATATAAAAATGATATAAAAGTTCTTGTTCATAGTTTCTTGATCACAATTAGTAGGAAAAAAAGGGGCACATTCACTCCTATGTTTGTGTAACTTAAATGTATATTTTGATTTGAATTGTATTATGTAAACAGTGAATTTTTATTTTTGTGATAATGGTAACAAAGGTGTGGTTAATTTTTCACCTTGTGATTTGACTTGTTTGGACTAAATATATTGTAAGCAGAAACATTTACTTGCACCCAAGTCACTTGTACAGACTAATGGTATTGATTGGTCAAAATCTGTTTTATGTAATGTCATCGAGACTATCAACCCCTACTTCAGGTGAACTTCCTTTGTTGTCTCATATGGATAATTCACGCCCTGTCTAATTTTGAAATTTGTTCATTACTCTAGGATCTTCTTCACTTAGGTGTTGTTTTCCTCACTTAGTTTTTTGGGAAGGTTTTTGTTTAGTTTTATATCCATGAAATTATCATTTTCTGTAAGCATACGTAGACCATAATCTATGAAGTTGTTCTCTTCACTGTTATTACCTGAGGGCTTTAGAGGAAAGAGTCAAGAACAACCACTTAGTGAACCTCAGGAAAGCTATGGAACTACTAAAGTGCATGTGAAGTACTGTAAGTACTTTTACTATGTTCATTCTTCGCTGTAGCATATGTCAGTAAATTATGAGTTAAATAAGTATTGGTGGGTCAGCTGCAGAACAGAACCACCACTTATTCTGTGGGAAAAATGCATCTTTGTGAAAAAGTGGGCTTTTGGAAGACAAATTATTTTCAAATTTGGGACTTGGATTCTTATGAAGGGAGCTGTTTTAAAAACTAACCCTATTTTATTCCTTTAATTGTTTTCAAGAGCACAATGGTGATACTCTTTACTTGTGGCTGTTTCCTTGACAATCATCTGGTCCATTTTTAAAAACCCAAGCACCCTGATTATTTTACTTTGTTATGAGTGTGGCATGTTGTGTTTCCCGTTGTCTCTATGTTGTTGGGTAGGTAATTTGAGTGTGTGTGTGAATTATGGGACTTGAGTACATCAAACTTCTGATAAGGGTCTCAGAGAAAAGTAAATATGATGCAAGAACTTTTAAAAACAACCACTTAGTCCCAGGGCACTCACAGGTTACTTGTGAGCGGGAGGAGAGGTTAGAGGTCAGTGATAATGCAGTAGAGTGCAGTGCCACACGTCTATGAGGCCTCTCCACGATTGCTTGTCTTTTGCTCTGTGCAGAATGATCCTCCTTGACTTCTGACTTTCCTTCTTTGTGTTTTTTTAAGTGATATTTGAAGCCTGCAGATATTTTCCGATTAGACTTTGTGTCTTGACAACTGTAAAATAATAAGTTCGAAATGTGAAATATTCCAACCACACTAATTTGACATATTTTATAAGTAGTTCATGGGGGCTGATTGCAGTGAATTTTGTAGTAAAAAAAAATTAGAAATTCATTTGAAGTTGGGGAATCTCATAGTTTCTTCCCATTCATTTCAATGGGAAGATTAAGGTTACCTTTGATAGAAATGTGAAAAGCCATCAATGGAGTAATACACTCTTTTGGCTTACTTAGATTTTTGACATATATTTATCTGATATTTATACATTTACCATTGTCTTAATATTAATGCAGCCTCTCGGTGTTGCTAACTTTTGAACCACTTTGGTTTTATTTGAAATTTTCTGTCCATGACTATGTCTCTTCAGATACTTTGTGTGTGTGTGTGTGTGTGTGTGTTGGGGCTAGTATTTTGGGATGAAGAGGAAATGCTGGGTTTTTTTTTTAAACCTAAATATTACATGTGTGACATAGACATATGTGTTCTAGCTTTAAAGGAAAAAAAAAACCCAACTCAACCTCTTCTTCATATACACAGGGTGTGATCCTTATGTACAGCTGAGGGATGAGTGGAATAACCCTGGTGTTTGGCTCTGGTTCCTTCTCTTTCAGTTTTTTTCTTTTGAACCAAAAGTGCATAGCACTATGAACATTGAACTTGGCTTTTCTAGAGATCAGAAAGATTGTTTTTAGAGCTGGCAGCCTCTTACCAAAAAATGCTTTTCAACTCTCAGATGGAAATGATTCCAAAGAAATTTTGCCAGAAGAATCTCAAGAAGTTGCAGTTTCTTTTCTGCTTTATAATCTATAAACCTATAGGTACATGACAATTATTTTCTCCCACTGGATTTCCTTTTGTTAATGTTATAACTATCTAAACAGTTTCCAAAAAATGTCAATGTACTTCACCCTTATAAAAAATGCACCTTATACCCTTCTATTGAGTAACTCTGTAATATTAAGGGTATCTTTGCTTTAAAAGGGGGGAAAAAAAAGCTTTCACGAGCCAGGTCAATTTGGACTTAAGCATTATTTTTTGAGTCTATTGAAATACAGAATTATTTATTTTACAGGACCCTGAAGGCAATATCCTCTAAATTAGAGACCTCATTGGAGGTTGCTGGGGAAATTGTGGATTTGGTTTAGAACCTAGCCCCTGTCAGCCCTTGTAAAGATAAGACAGAGGGCAGTAGTTAAGAAATGGAAAGGAACAAATTAGAGCTTCTTGTAAAAATTATTTAATATATTTATAATTTTTATTTATATTTATTTTGTATCATTATTAAAGGGTGGAGTGAACAATAAACTTTTGAGGGTAAGACTGATATAATTTATTTATTCTTGAATTTTAAGCAGAAGGACCAAACCTACTTCATGGAGAAGCCCCTCTCTGTTCCACCTGAAGTATTTCTACTTATTTCTCATTTTATTTATTTATTTTTATTTCTCATTTAAAAAAAGGAACTAATGGATCCTTTTTAGACCAATGATTCTCAAATTGTGTTGATCAGGATGATACGATTAAAGGATTTGAGATTATGCTAGATGGCTCTCTACTATCTATTCACTTATCATCTTCTTAGTAGCTGCAATTCAGTCTTATAGAAAAACAATGTGGAAAAATTTAGTATCCCTTACTCCTACATTGTATTGGAAAAACAAAGATATATATTAGCGATTGCATGTCATTTCACTAAAATTGATTGTTCTATTAACTTGTTTCTGAATTTTTGATTAGGAGGGCATATTATAACAATTGGTAAAGATTTGAAGTTAGGCAGATTTAGGTAAAAACCTCATGTCTTTTATCTTCAAGCTGGGCTGTCCTGTAAAAGTTGCTGCATCTTGTGGAATCTTGGTTATCAGCTGTGAAATGCATGTGGTGGTATTTTCCTCATAGGGGATGTGATGATGTGTGGCATATAGTAATTACCTAATACCTTAGCTCTTTTCGCCATGATTACTAGTTTAGAAGATAAACAGAAGTTATTTTCTTTATATCAAGCACTCAAAGTCATAGCAAAAAGTGTTGCTATTTAGTGTAAGCTACTCAACATGCACTCTCAGCATCAGACAGTGCGATCTACGTACGTTGAAGCACCCTGAAGGACCATGTTGTATTTAAGGAAGACTAACCTATAGTGTCTTTCTTCAAAGAGTTTACACTCTGGGTGTCTGCATTTTGTTTGTATAAAGTATAACTTCAATTCTGTTTGAAAGAACTCAAAAAATTAGACAATAAGATAACAAATAACCCAATGAACAAATGGGCCAAGGATCTGAACAGACACTTCTCAGAAGAGGACATACAATCAATCAACAAGTACATGAAAAAATGCTCACCATCTCTAGCAGTCAGAGAAATGCAAATCAAAACCACCCTAAGATACCATCTCAC